AAACTAAAGCAATAATTAGTGGCAAGACCTATGTGAACAGGTTTGTAGGGATCAAGTCCAACAAACAGCAATTACTGAGGTTATAGCTGAGGGAGATCAATGAGAGAGAAGCAGTCTAGAAATATATCAGAAGTTAATAAATCTGGGAAGGCTGTGATTAATTATTTTTTATAATAAGTAGAATTTTATTTATAAAGATATTCACGAATTTATTTCAAAAGTAACACAAGGCTTAACAGAGCTCTCAGTCTTTGCCAGCAAGGTACAGTGTTGAAAAGAAATGTGTGACTATTTCTTATTTTTCCACCTGAACTTTATTATTTTTTTGCTGGAAAGCTACTTCCTTTTCAGGTTTTTCCTTCTAAATTGTATGAAGGAGAATCCTTGATGCAGACTATCCTGTGTCATACCAAGTGAGGCTCCAGATCCATTAATAAGATAACTGACGTCTGTCATATTAAAGTTTTCGTAGCTGCTCTGGATTTTTGAAGCATATAACAATGAAAACAATCAAAGTGGAATAACTTCCTTAAATTATGTTGAAACGCTGGCAACATTAATGCGATTTTATCCTACTGAGCGCTAAATCATAGAAAAGGTCTGAGACTCAAAACTCTGAATAATGGGCACGTACAGAGCCCCGCAGGCGACATGGGAGGAAAAAAAATTAAGATGAACTTTTGCGAGATCTCGCAAAACTAACTCGGGATCTGATCTCGCAAAATAGACTGCATACTTCGCAGGTCGCATTTGAAGGTCGGGGGTGTCCAAATTCCTGGGCTGCATCCTCCTGAGGATGCATTTGTAGGCCGATTACGTCACAGCGACGTGACGAAGGCTGTCCAAATTTGTAGACTCCTCCGAATGCAGCCGACAAATGTGTCCTCCTTTTCCCAGAATTTGAAGGATGGGTCGGAGTATCCTTCGTGGCCTATAGCATGGCCCAGCCAATTCCAGTTTTCAACAATGGCGGCCGCTACTAAGTTTTTAATATTACTCTTATTACTCTTTCTGGGTATCAAAATTAACTTTTAACATATTTTCAGGCGAGAATGTAGCTGTGTGACTTCAAATATCTGCTCGGTTTATCAAGACATCACATATTTGCAAAAGTGCTTTGACGTTTTCGGAGATGTCTGCTACCCACCAGCTCGATAGCTAGCCGGGAGCTCGAGGGTCACTAGAGCCGCCGAGAACGGCACAACTCCCGGCACATCATTTTCAGATCAC